GCAGAAGAGACGCTATTAAAATGCCTCGCCGTCGCCCCGAGCGCAAAACCCGTCCTCCCCAAATCTCCTGGGCTTGCGGCATAATCTTAATTAAGATAATTGATTCATATTGCACCTGCGAGAACGGAAAAAATTGATTCCAACCCCCAACCCCACAAATTGCTTGGAGCTATTGGATGGATCACGACGCGGCTGTGATTTGGGGAATGATTTAGTGCCGGGCTCCCCAAGCTAGGCCTGTCTGGGCGCTTGTATTTATTATTTACTTCCCCTGGGTCCCGCGGGGCCTTGGTGGCTCCCCTCCCGTTGCACGCAGACCTGCACTGGACTCGGTGCCTCCAAATGAAAGGGGACTTCCTTAGACCGCTCAGCACGCAGAATCAGAACATAAAATAAACGCAGCCTGGACATCCTGGCAGACGCAGGCCTCTGGCACGGTTGTGCGTCAGACCGTGCGTGCTTTGGGCGTCAGAAAGCCTGTGTGTGCAGAGGGGTGTGTGCTCGTAACTCGGTGTGCAAGTGTGTGTCTGAGTGTGCGTGCCTAAGTGCATGTGACATTTCTGCGAGTGTATATATAAATGTGTGACTTTGTGAACATTTGTGTGAATGTGTCTACGCGTGTCAGTAACTGTGTGTGGCTGTGTCAGTGTGAGGCGTCAGCGTGTGCACGGGAGTGTGTGTTCCAGTGAGGACCGAGAACAGAGGGCCCGCACCTGTTTCCCGGGCAGTGGGGAACAGCTTGCCGTCCAAAGGGGACCTGACAGAGCCCGGGGTTTGCCAGCTTTCGCCTTAACAGAATGAGCAAGCAAACAAAAATCCCTGGTAGCTGGGCGTCGCTTCAGGAGCGGAGAGTGAGACACACCGATGGCGTCTAAGCGACCTCTGAACAAAGGCTGACTCCCTGGGTTCGGAGAGGAGACCCCAGTTCCTAGGGCCCGGGCAGCTCGGGGGAGAAATGGCCGCCAGGAAAATATCAGCACCGTGGACAACTCCCGCTCCAGGGCCCTGAAGTTCGCTCTATTAAGATTGAGCGAAATTCCCCTGTGAGCAGTCTTTTCGCCTCCCCTGTTTGCTTTCTTTTGCTAAATGACTGGCTATCTCGCCCAAAACTTTTAGTCAGATCCCTGTAAATCTGCATCTAATTAGCAGCCTTTTCAGAATAAATTTCCTGGAAAACTAGGTGTTGTGGAGAGGGAAGGCTTAAACAACAAATTTGAGCTGATGAATCTGAAACAAAGACACACCATACATTGAATAACTTTTTCAAAAGATGGGCATCATTCTAATATTTGCATTTATTTGCCACAGGGCTTCCAAACAAATCTCGCGTTTGCTTTTCTTAGAAACATTGCATCTAAACTGTGATTCATTTTGCTTTTGCTTTATGCAGCTTAAGTTTTACTGAAAATACAATCTTTATTATCGTTATCCTTTAACTCTCCATGTATTTTATACTGTATCTTCTATAAATGGTAAAAATAAACCTACAGATACCGAATATAATTATTTCCTCAGATTTGGTGAGCCACACAATTATTTAAACCATACCAGATTTAAATATTGCATATTACTACTCACAACTTATTTAAAAAAAAACTGGGAAAAATCTAGCAGAGTGCTTGACTCTAAAAACAAGCACTTTCAGTAATTCAAATCCCTTAGCCATAAAAATCACATCCTCCCACGTACAC